TGTCTGGTTGGAAATGCATGCCATTATTTCATTGCTGTTACTCAACCATTTAATAGACCGTGGTGCAGTTTGTGTATGTTGTGTGGAGACACATAGTCATTATAGACCCAGTTTTGTGATGTGACATTTGATTTCAGTTTCGCTTTTTATATTTTTGTCACACACACACACACACACACCACCACCACCCAACCTACCCCCCCCCACACACACACAACCAACCCCCCCCCCACACAAACAAACAAACAAACAAACACACACAGAGAGAGAGAGAGAGAGAGAGAGAGAGAGAGAGAGAGAGAGAGAGAGAGCTAAAATGTCTTCATTTTGATGGTATTACACTGTCTCATTAGAAATAATCTACTTGGTAAATTTGCTTGTATAAATTCCCGTGTATGCCGGACTAGAAACGCGCCTCTGAAAAAAAAAAAGACAAAACTTCAGTACCTGCTGATTGTAAATTTAGTTTTGAAATCTCAAGAGAAACACACAATTAGTTACGTATCCCTTACAAGAGATAGCAGACTAATCTTAGTGTAGCATAGCTGTGTTCTTTGCGTACGTTGTCACACCCCAGGTTCGTCTTTAGATTTGCTACAGGAGGAGTCGATTAGAAGAATTTGTTGGCTGCTTGTAGTTATAACAGGCAAGTCTACATTCAATCAGTAGTTTGCCATTGCCTTCTGAATGCTTCGTCGCTTATACTGTTGACTTAATTAACGAAAAGTCATATCTGCCCAAATTGTCCACAGTTGACTACGAACCTCGTATGTCGGTATTATGAAATTGCCTAACCCGTAAGCAGCAGACGTGAATGAAAAATATAAGGACGTATGAAATAATCCACAATGATTTCCCCCAATGATTTCCAATGATAAAGGAAGTTTGTAGACATTTATAAAATGACTACAGTTTTCCCTATGGGTCTCGCCACGGCTTTTTTGGTTCTTTTCTTTTAATTCGCCACATCTCGGGGACTCCGGGGTTTCGTTTAGTTCCGTAAAATTCCAATAGTATAGGGGTCTTAGGGTGTGAAATCAAAACCGACTAACACTAACCCCACATAATATTGGATGTTCCCGATGACTCACCACGAAATCTCACAGTTCCCGAGATGGGGTAAACTAAAAAAGAAAAAAAAAACCTGGCCTTTGATCTGATAAATCTTGATTAATAGCTCATTGTCCGCTTGTTTACATCTACCTCTTTGTTGATTTGTATTACCACCAGTCGCCAACCTGTAATGTTTGATTTTCATTTGCATTGTTGTCACGAACCACAAGTCCTGAGACCTAATCTAGTTTGTCCGCTTTCCCTAGCTGTCCTCCGGTTGTCGCAGTGATGCACGCTTAGCTTACGCTAACACAGACAGTTAATCATTTGTAACCAAAGCTTGCCAACACATTCTGCTGTGGTTCAGAAATGATTGTGTGCCTCGGAAAAATCGGCTAACTAACGCTTTGTGTTGCGGGTTTAGAGTTTCAAATTAATCATCTACATCAGAGCCACAGAGTAAGGTGGCTTCTTCATATGGCCAATGAGAATAAATCTGGATGATTACCACTTCGGTCCACCCTGTCATTTGATATTTGGATTAAGTTGGTGTTGTTTTTATTACAATTTGGGCGCTTTCCTAATATCCTACCTTAAACAGGGGAAATCCACAGGTCACGGGAAAGTCAAATATTTAAGTGGGGTTTTATTTGGCTGCATGCAGTCGTGGGGCCTAGGCGAACAAGTTGGACTGTCCTGTGACGTCATCTGGGTGTAGGATATTATGAAAGAACCATAATTTGTTGAAAATTTAACTTTCAACCGATTTCTTTCTATGTCTTCCTCTGTTTTTTCTTGCTTAATGTTTTCGAACATATGCTGTTGAGAATAGCAAAATATAGCAAATCATGATCGCCCAGGCCAGTCGACAGTAAATTTATGATGATGATAGAGAGGAGAAGGAGAACACATACAAGATGGAAGTATCTTGTTGCGGATATTGCCGTTGAAATGTGAAATATGCCTACAACTTCCACTGTATGACCTTCCTAAACACACTCCACGCCTACTATAGAGTCTGTTTCGACCTCAGAGCCATGTGCGAAAAAAACATCCTAATTTGTCATTGAGTCCACGTCGCCGTCGAGTCCACGTCGCCGTCGAGTCCACGTCGCCTTCTTTGTAGATGGGTACAGTGTCCATTTCGTTACCACGGTTCTTGTCCTTAGCACTCATCATCATCATCATCATCATCATCATCATCATCATCATCATCATCATCATCAGGTGCCTTGCCGACTGGCGTGATCGATCATGCCTCTCCATAATCCACGATCTCCTGCAAGCATGTAGTCCTTAGCACACTACCTTAGTTAAATCTGTCAGCTACACATAGGTAACACACATATAACTGATGCAGGAGTTAGAATAATAAATGTATGAGGTAATAACTTAACTATACCACAAAAGTGGTATTGAAATCCCATGCTGTATTGTGGAAGACTTTTATCAAGGCAGGCGGGTCTTGCTAGTCACACTCATCACCGTCGCCATGGCCGGTGAACCTGTGAACCCCAAGACTCCTCATGGCGCTATGTAACACTATCGTCTGGAAAGACGAAAAGGTACCAACTGCGACATACTTGTTAGGCAGGGACCATGTAACCACACGGGGATATCGCTTTGAAAACCTCTAAATCTGGTTATCTCCCTGTCACCGCTTTGAGAACCGTGTCTTATGTTGTTTACCTTACTTTCAGGTAGTGCCTACATTGTGCTGGGATATCGCTTTGAGAACCGTGTCTTATGTTTATCTCCCTGTCACCGCTTTGAGAACCGTGTCTTATGTTTATCTCCCTGTTACCGCTTTGAGAACCGTGTCTTCTGTTGTTTACCTTGCATTCAGGTAGTGCCTACATTGTGCTGGGATATCGCTTTGAAAACCTCTACTTCTGTTTATCTCCCTGTCACCGCTTTGAGAACCGTGTCTTCTGTTGTTTACCTTGCTTTCAGGTAGTGCCTACATTGTGCTGAGATATCACTTCGAAAACCTCTGCTTCTGTTTATCTCACTGCCACCGCTTTGAGAACCGTGTCTTCTGTTTACCTTGCTTTCAGGTAGTGCCTACATTGTGCGGGGGACAGTTAATTCTCGTGACAAGGCGTGCCGGGACAGGTTCCAGCGCAATAGATTATTGATGTGTCCTATATTTTTCAGCTGATCGATATCACTGTATGCCTAGGCGGGTATCAGATCAGGGCCTTCTATAATTTACCGACTTGTTGTAGGTTCTTTTTCCTTCACTACTGCGTCTTATTCCTGCTTTCTATCATTTCTACACCACTTTTTGTTTTTGTTTTAAATCACATCACGTCATCACAATTCTCCTTTCTCATTCGGTTGAAAATCCCAGTAGGTCAATGTTTATTGATTGTCCTTACCCCCACCTATTCTTTACTATATTCATTGGCACTATCGAAGTTTTCACTGAGCAAAAATGTATGCACATTATCCTGGAAGAGAAATGTGACTACACGCTCTGTCCTTTTCCCCCTTCCCCTCCCGCTTCCACTCTCCTTATATTCACGTGTGGCATGGTTGATCCCCCCTCCCCCCGGATCAGTTAAAAGCTTTAACAACCTTCAGCATGTGGAGGTCCTATATTTTTTTATTTTTTTTGCGGAATCACAAGCTGGTTAGATCCTGATATGCTTTTCCATAGATGTGAAACTCAAATATTGGTTCTGCACAGCCTGCTTATTTCTGAACTAGAAGAGAGAAAGGAGAACCCTGTAATAAAGTCATAGTAGATGTATGGCTCAGGAGAAATGTCTACACAGAGTCGCTCACATAGATGCAAGCCATTTTTAGGGCTAAGATAGCCGGAATGCTTTGGATTTGCCAGTTATACCTCATATATTAAGACCTAAAACTCATTTTTCTAAAAGATTCTTCTTCTTCCGTGTTAGCCCTCAAAAGGATGGTTGGCCTGTTGTGTAGTGGTTTACAGCTAGGCTGCTTTTGGCCTAGAATTCCCCCCCCCCTTCATTTTTGTTGATGGCTTCAAACACTGTTTGAGCAGCAGACACTATATGTATATTTGTGTGTGTGTGTATGTATATATTTGGATGTATTTTGATATTGTAATTGTGTTATTTCTTAGTTATGAACTGGACTAGTCATAGAGCTTAACTATAATTGACCAGTGTTCATGACATCAGGGACAGAAACTGGAAGCTCTGGCCTCTTAAGTTAATCTCTTCGGGAAAAGGGGGGGGGGGGGGGGGTCGCAAAAAATAATTAAAATTGTAATAAGGCTGAGTGGCCTGTAGAGCATGTATAGACATTCTCTCTTTTTTAAATAATTGTTGCTCCATTTCATATTATTTCAGATATATTTATTTGCAATTCAGCACATAATATTAATCATCATCATCATCATCATCATCATCATCATCATCATCATCATCACTACTGCTATTATTATTGTACTCTTAAACAAGGCTGAAACACCACTCCATCAAAATTATAAGAGGGCTAAGCTTCCACACCCTCCTCTAAAGATTTCTTTGCTGCACCCCTGTTCTAAATGTGTATCAGATATTTCTGAAGAGAACAGAGATGTTGAGGAAGAGAAACTCACAGTGATTTGCCCACTTTGCCACGGAGACCTCCCCCTTTCTGTTGTTGTTAGTGACCTTACAGAGCCAGCACATTTCACAAGCAGCTCTTTTCTGTTCTAGTGCCCAGTGCATTATCCATGTTTGGCACTTATCGCATAAAGTAGGGATGAAAATGCTGTTAATAGAACCTCACATTGCTACATCAATATTTGTCTAATAACTTCTTTTTTACTGTTGTTATTTCTGATGCTATAATCGTGGTGATTGTGAAGTTTAATGTAAGCTTATCTTCTGCAGCTGGACACACTGCGTATCCAGTATGAGCATCAGATATCCACTCTACAGAGACAACTGGATGCAGAAAGAAGGAACACACAGGAACAGATGGAGCAAAGAAAGCAAGAATATGCCCAGGTCAGTCTTCTGCCATTTTCTGTGTATAAGACACTATGTTTTTTCAAAATGAAGTTTAAAATTGAGGGTCATCTTCTTCTTTAAGTTTACTGGCTGTGCTGTAAACTCCAAAGGAAAGTTCTAGTTGTTCATCAGTTTTCAGATTTTGGTCTTGTTCCAGAAGTTAAGTTGTGTGTGCAAATCTGTTTGACAAATTATGCTTATTTCTATGCAGACTGTTGATTTCTCGCCTCTTAGGCAGATGCATTCTGACTTAAACAAAGCTGCCCTAATTAATTGCCTTGTACCACATGCTTGTTTGAGAGACAGTGTGTCTATTCTTCCCCCTCCCCTAGAATAGGGCCCCGGAACCCACTAGGGTAGGGGGTCGTTTTATACACAGAATGTGTTTAAAATATTTATTTCCTAATTTAGGGCTTTGAAAAAAAAAAAAAATTGGGGTCGTCTTAAACAGGGAAACACCTTTCACATGGAAAAATACTGTAGTTAAAATTGCAAACTTTCAAGTAAATTGCTAATTAAAGATAAAAGGATGAACTTCATTGCACCGAGTTTGACCCTTTTAACTCAGAATATCTGACTGCTGCTGCTACTGAGAGTATTGTACAAAGTGTGAACTCCATAGCTTATGCTGTTGGTTTCCACTCCAGCACTGAAGTCTGTAGGATTAACAGGGCATTCCCCCCCCCCCCCCTCCCCCTCTGTAAACAGTAACAGCATTATTTTTTTAATAGGCATAATGTTTTTTCAGCAGCAATTTGATAGGTACTGAGTTGTAAGTACCAGCACCCTTTCAGAAGCTTTGTGGTGAGTATCAGAACCTTTTTCATAGGAGAAAAAAGCTCTGTCAACATCTCATAGATGAGAATCATACAGGTTCAAATCCCAGAAACCCTGTGTAGCTATTTAACTAACACAGATAAATTGGGACACCCTACAGTTAGAAAGTCACCTGCAATATAATGGTGCCCAAGATCTCTGAAATATTTGCACTTGTGAACTGAATGGTGCAGCCTAAAAACAAACTATGCAACTTTCAGGGTGTGAGGCAAATGGCTTGACCACTCTGTCTTGCTGACTTTTTTCTTATCTAGGCAACAGCACACCAGCCTGGTAGAAAAAAGTATTATAATATGAGTGAACAAAGAAAGTACAGTAAAAGTACCAGAAGGAGTGACCCGGGGAGGGGGGGGGGGATCTGACTGACGCTCACCACTCAGTGGCGAGAGGGGTGAGATGGACATACAGTCAGACTGTTACTAGTGCCATTGGAATACAAACTCTGCAGTTGCTGCTGAAGAGGGGGACAGAGTGTTCATGGGAATATTGTGAGTACTATGATGTCGTTTCTTAACTCATAATTCATGACTCAAAGGTACCTGGGACCAGGTAACTTATGTTGGTACACCCCCCCCCCCCCCCCCCCCCCCCTCGTATTTTTCTTTGTGGTCTCTTCTTCTGTGTTCTCGTGGCTTTCAGACAGTTGGTGCAAGAGTTGCTCAGTGTAAGAGATTAGGGCATGACCATGTAATATCCCCATTGTTATCGGTGAGTACATTGCGCCTGGCCTCTGTTGTGGAGACAGCCCAGTGTTTTTTGTGAAGGTATCTCTGCCTCTGCTGCATTGCTTGTTTCCCCATTAGGAAAAATGAAAAAGGAGCGGCAAATGAAAATGATACTTAACTCTTTCAGTCCTAGGGGATTTAGTGTCAGAGTGGGTAGTAAAGAGATAAATAATTGGCACAACCTTCTTTCATCAGGCTTATAGGTAGGAACCTGTGATGTATGATGTGTTCCTTGGGACTGGAAGAGTTAAAATTCAGTGATCATTACCTCCTGTCTAATGAATGTTGAATTTGACATTTTATTTTTTGCTGCTGTTTCATGCCAACCTGCTATGTTCAGGCTTTTAAAGTGTTTCATCTTCTGTATTTATTCCATATTTGCATATCTGTAGTGTCTTGTTTACTTCCCCCATCCTTCTCTTTCTTGGTCTGCTCTTGACTTGTAGCCTGCTGTTCTCATTTAGTTTGCTCTACTTTCTGGCTGATCTTATTCCTTTCTGACCAGATCACCAGACCATTTGATCATTTAATGTGCTTTGGAATCATTTACTGGTAGTCTGCCTACCACTGTTTTTAGTTCTTTATTACTGACTCTGTCTCTTCTGTGTCAGTAGTGGATAAAAAAAAAAAAAAACACATAAACTTAGTTGACACATGAATGCATATTATTTCAGCTGGTGTCCAACCTGCGGGCTAAGCTGGGTGAAGAAGAGCAAGAGGAGTTGGATAAAGCAATCTCAGAGCTGACAAAAGTTCAGTCAGCAGAAATCGAGAGTATTAATGCCACGTATCAGGTAGGTGTAGGTTGGTTAACACCAATGACTTGCAGAATATTATATACAGTGAAAGCCTCATTTACATGAACTCACTTAAGAACACTTGCCTCTATTCATCTTCATCTGAATTTGAGGATTAGATATCTGTTTCTTGGCAAAAAATTCGGTTTTAAAAAGGTGGAGGTGTTGGCCTTATGCCACAGCCTGGAATACCATGTAATAATGACATGACTGGACATAATTTATATCATTATGTAAATTTAGGGGACCAATTCCTCTATTTTATCACCTGGGGGGTGGGGGGGGGGGGACGAGTGGTGAAATAAACCCACTAAACCCACTAACAAGCATATCTAACTAATTAGGGGTGCTTCCTTTGAAGTCAGAAGGCATCTGCATGAGAGGCAAGGAATTAATAACCTGCATACAGATAAGCCAGACTGATATGTAACAAATATAGTTTTGCAAAACTAAAAGTCCCCAAAAGACTAAAGTCCAGAAGTGGACAAACAGCCTGGACTTTCTACAGGAGGTTACGGCCGGTGAATGCAAAGAGGAAGAAGGATCAGTAAGCAGTGGTAAACTACTAAACATTAACTTGCCTTGTGAAACTACAAACTGCCAACAATTCCTGGTGTTGGTTTGTTATCCGTCCTGTAAAGTCTATGCAGCTAACTGTATGTACTTGATGCTTGTGAAATGAAAGATGCAGTAAACGAGTTTCTTCTTTTCCATGCAGTATGATTTGTCCTTGGAGCTGACAGCTCTGAAACTGTCCATGGAACAAATTTATACCAGCAAGCTGCAGCTAGAAATGTCAGACATGAAGATGAAATATGACCAGAGATTGGATAACCTTAGCAAGCAACACAAGGAAGAGATGAACATGCTTACAGCAAGGAGCACCAACATAAGTGAGAAATAACACTTGTTTTTTTTATAGAAGCTTGTAACTAAACAATTTAGATACCATTTATCTTCTACTTAATCATCTTCTTTGTCTCCTCCTCCTCCTTTATCTTCTTAAAAAGCTAAAGTTCATTTTCTTTCAATTTATCTGTCACTTTGAATGCTGGAATGCCTTTTGTCCACCACATTTAGGTGAAATACTTAAGAAGAAGGTGTTAGTTCATCAACTTTATAAGTTGAACATCTAATTAGTCAGTATTTTATCAGATTTAATATTGATGGTTTGGGCCATTTCATTTGTCCATCAAGCTTTTGCACATTTTCAGACTACGAGCTCAAAATATGGAAAATGTTAAAAATAACCTGCACTGATCTTTTAGACATGTCATCTATTGAATATTGTTGTTGCAGATTCATCTGACAGTGTGAGTTCATCATTAACAGACCAGTACAACTCGTTAATACAGGTGAGCAAATAATAATGAGGATAATAATAATAGTATCATTTAATCAAATCTGACATTCAGCTATTACTTTTCTGCTCTTGTTTTTTCCCCCACACCCAAGTAATCTCCTTTCACTGATTTCAAGGTCTTGCAGCTGTATAATGTAGTGTTAATACATGTACTGAAGCGACGAATACTTTGAAAAAGAAAGAAAGAAAATTTTTTTTATCAAACACATTTCGGAACTAGAGTCATAACATGATTAGACAAATTAATGCATGAAATGATCAGACAGTTTTTCTTTTTTTTCACTCTGAGTAGTTATTACTTCCCCAAATTTCGACCCCAAAATATGTTGTGTCCTTTAGTGTAGCATTTAGAGACTCAACAAATCAACCTGATGATGATGATTGTCATAAACATTATCATGATATTTCCTCCCCAACAAGCATGTCATAAGAGTCGACTAATTGGGTGCTTCCTTTGAAGTCGGAGAGCATCTGACAAGAGGTCAGGAATTATCAGTCTGCAAAAAACAAATAATATATCTGTAATACAGAAGTGCATGCAGTGTTCAGGCTCTGGAACAAGACTGAAGTCGAGAGGTGGACAAACAACCAGAATGTTACAGCCGGTGAATGAGAAAAAGAAGAAGAAAATTCTTTAAGTGTTTTGATGTATACAGAGACATGTGTATACAACCATGGTGATGTGCCAACTGTCAGCATATTTGCCCATCACTACATGCTCAAAGTGATGGAGGATAGAAGATATCGTCCAGAGGGCAGTGATATTGTTTCTGTAAAATGATAAATTCATGGAGCATTGCACTTTTAATCAAAGCATGCATAATTCGTGCTCAGGGTGAGGTGGACATATAGCTGCATGTTTCATTACACATCTTTAATCTCATAACAGTATTCATCATCCCATCATCATCCCGTTACACTAGGAGTTGTTGGTTAACCAGTTTCTGTTGACTGTCTGATCAGCTGTCTCAAACTTTGGCAGTCAGTTGCGTTGGACTTCATGGTTGCCTGCCTGAGGCCTGTCCAGTGAGTCAGGTTCTGTAACCAGGTCTTTCTTGGTCTGCCTCTTCTCCTCTTTCCCTCTACTAAGCTCTGCACTATTGTTTTGGAGAGGCCGTTAGATCTTATTACATGTCCATAACATTGTATTTTTCACCTTTTCACTGTAGTTAAAAGAGTTTCATTGTTGCCAATGTGCTGTATAATTTTATGGTGAACCTCTTTGTTTTTTATGTGGTCTCTGTATGATATGCCAAGAATTTTTCTGAAAACAATTTTTATAACAGTATTATGACTACAGAGATAATTGGAAAGGCAGTTCAAGTTAACAATAAGAAACAATATTAACTCTTTCTATCCCAAGCAAGGCTCCATGTATGTTCAGTTTATGTCTGTGTATCAATGCAACATGTGGTGTGTTATTATTTATTTGATGCTTGGTCTGGAATTGCAAAAGAAATGTGGTAAAATATTTTAAATGCAGCAAAGAATATTTGAAATTCATACACTGATGCCTTTTTCACTGCGATTATTGGGCCAGATTGGGTTTTTCTTTGAAACCATCTGGAAATGAATGAGTTAAGGCACTTAATTGCTGTTCCCAACACAGCATAATTGGCAACACTTTGGAAAACCACTCGACTTACCTGCACAGAACTGCAGGTCACACTAGTCTGTTATACTTGTTATTGGTGCCCTAATTATAATAATTTTTAAAGGTTGAATGGGGGTATCTTGGATCTGCTCTGTTGGTCTGCCATCCAGATTGAGATTTTAAACTCTTTGAGCCCCAGGCATTTGTCACTTAAACTTGTTATTTTAAGATGTTGTACCTGAAAGTATTAAATGTTTAGGTCTGAAGTAGTTACACCAGATTCATTATGTGACAGAAGATGGTAAACTTACAAATCTGATACAGTTTGTTATGGTAACACTGATTTGTTATAGAAGAATACAAAAACAGTATGTTGTCTTTGGGATAGTCAAAAAGCGCACTGTGAGTTGCTTGGTACCAAAAGAGTTATAAGAGTAATAAGGGCGTAAAACTTCATTCAGGTAGCAGCCTGGAGGGGACAAACTGATCAGTCAGTCGAAAGTCATTCATTGCTGCCTGACACCCTAATCACTGGAATATGAAGCCATATATCTGACTCACTCTGTATTTGTTGTTTATATTACAGCATATCAGCGCACAACTGGAACAAATGTTGCATGAAGAGCAGGAAAAGGCTGATCTTCCTAAACAAAGTGTTGATGGAGTTGTTAATGGGGAACAGAATCAAGTGCCTTCAGTACATTTTGCTCAGGGTATACTCTTACTTCCTTACATTATTGTAGATATTCATTGACATATTGTGTCTTTGGTAGTGGTTTCTTTACATTCTGTGGTCATGCCATGAGAAGGAGAAAACTAGAGTACATTGTGATGGTGGGGAGAGTTTGAGGGGAAAAGATACAGAGAGAGAGATAGAGAGATAATGAGAGATAGATTATATAGATAGATAGATTATATAGATAGATAGATAGATAGATAGATAGATAGATAGATAGATAGATAGATAGATAGATAGATAGATAGATAGATAGATAGATAGATAGATAGATAGATAGATAGATAGATAGATAGATAGATAGATAGATAGATAGATAGATAGATAGATAGATAGATAGATAGATAGATAGATAGATAGATAGATAGATAGATAGATAGATAGATAGATAGATAGATAGATAGATAGATAGATAGATAGATAGATAGATAGATAGATAGATAGATAGATAGATAGATAGATAGATAGATAGATAGATAGATAGACAGATAGACAGATAGACAGATAGACAGATAGACAGATAGATAGATAGATAGATAGATAGATAGATAGATAGATAGATAGGTAGATAGGTAGATAGGTAGATAGGTAGATAGGTAGATAGATAGGTTGATAGGTTGATGGATGGATGGATGGATGGATGGATGGATGGATGGATGGATGGATGGATGGATGGATGGATGGATGGATGGATGGATGGATGGATGGATGGATGGATGGATGGATGGATGGATGGATGGATGGATGGATGGATGGATGGATGGATGGATGGATGGATGGATGGATGGATGGATGGATGGATGGATGGATGGATGGATGGAGGGAGGGAGGGAGGGAGCGAGGGAGACAGAGAGAGAGAGAGAGAGGATGTTGGACAGTTTGACATTATTGCAAGGAAGACCATCTGTGTCACAATTGATTGAAAGTACACAGGACAGAATGTTGTGGATATACTTGACTACCAGTGCCACATGACATGGACTGTGAGAAGAAGTGGTTTCTTATCATGCATAAAAGAACAAAGTACTTACCTTCTAAAAGATGTGTCACATTAGGCCCATAATTTTTCATAATTTGTATCTTTACATTTGCATATCCTTACAATTACATATAAATAAGTAAAATAAAGATCCCTTTTCACACCTTTGGCTCATTAGGTATATGGGAAAGAGCATCCCACATTTGTTACAGACCAATCAGCACTAGGTGGGTAATGTGGTCAGCATTATGCCAGCGGTCTTTACTTCCCCAGGATAGCCATCCTGGTACCCAATTTAGGCTGGGTCGACCTGCGACGCCACATACCATGATAAAAAAAATTCGTGCAGCCAGCAGCGGGTTTCAATTATGGTACTTTGGAATTACATACTATGCTCAGAATATTTTCTTAAAGTTTCTCTTAATATTTTGATAAATTGTTTTTCATAAATGCATATTTTTACATAACATTAATTAACACTGTACACATAATGTTTTGTAACAGTTACCCATATTATTTATTTTATACTTTCAGATTTGCATGAATGTACATTCACATTATTCACAGAATGTTTTGAAATAGTTACCTATGATATTTAATCATTTATACTTTCAGATTTGCGTAACCTACTTCTGACTCAACAAGAAGAGGTGTTATCTCTAAGAAGTAAGTTGCTATCAGAGTATGAGTCCTTGCTGCAGCATCGTGCAGAAGTCATGCAGAGTCAGTCCAGTCATGTTTCAGCATTAGAAGAACAGATGCTGCAACTGGAGAAGCAGCGTGATGAGGAGTTTAGAACCAAACAGGAAACTATCCTCAGCAGTAATGGTAAGATCCTGGTCTTAAGTGTTGTGCAATGCTTGTATGGGTTTTGGGTCTCACAGGATGGAAGAAGGGGGGGGGGGGGGGGGCCAGGAAATAGACCGACTGCACCCAACATTCAAGTTCTATAACAAGACAAGTCCAGAAGTGGACAAATGACCAGAACTTTCCACTGGAATTTATAGCCTCTGAACGTAAAGTATAATTGTTATACATAAATTGTAGCAGGCCCTTTACAGATTGTTGTATTTTCATCACAATGTAGTAGGTCTTTTACAGATTGTTGTACATTCATCACAGTTTAGTAGGTCCTTTACAGATTGTTTGTATGTTCATCACAGTGTAGTAGGTTTTTTACAGATTGTTGTATGTTCATCACAGTGTAGTAGGTCCTTTACAGATTGTTGTATGTTCATCACAGTGTAGTAGGTCTTTTACAGATTGTTGTACATTCATCACAATGGTCTTTTACAGATTGTTGTACTTTCATCTCAGTGTAGAAAGTCCTTTCAGATTGTTGTACCTTCATCACAACACAGAAGGTCCTTTACAGAATGTTGTACACTCACCCATGTAGCAGGTTCTTTACAGAATATTGTGCATTCATCACCATGTAGGAAGCCCCTTACAGAATGTTGTGCGTTCATCACCATGTAGGTAGCCCTTTACAGAATGTTGTGCATTCATCACCATGTAGGAAGCCCTTTACAGAATGTTGTGCATTCATCACCATGTAGGAAGCCCTTTACAGAATGTTGTGCATTCATCACCATGTAGGAAGCCCTTTACAGAAATTTGTGCATTTATCACCATGTTGAGGGGGGGGGGGGGGGGTGACCTTTACAATAGGTCACTCTCATCATGGCCTACTGGAAAATACTGGATCTTTTACCAGTTTCTCTTTTTTGTAAACTTTCTTGCCCAGGATGTCCTTTTGTGTCCATTTTATCACTATGTGGCAGTTCATATACTGATAGTCATTTTTTTTTTTAATGGCTGGATGCTTGCCTGCCAGCTCATTGGGCTTGGTTGGGTTCAAATCTGCATTGACTCAAATTGTTTTCTAAATTGACCATGGCACCCAGGCCTAAAACGGGTACCCTCAAATGGACTGGGAAGTAAAGGCGACCTGACATGATGTTGACTACATCACCCACTTAGTGTCGATTGGTCCTAAATAATATGGGTCTTGCATCATTTACCTAATGCACCACTGGTATCAGAAGGGTCCTTTACTTGTACTTTATAGCAGCGATTCTTATAAAAATATGATAGTGATTGGGGAAAGATTTTCTTAAAAGACTTGCTTCAATTATTAGTGAGGGGGTGAGAGAGAGAGAGAGAGAGAGAGAGAGAGAGAGAGAGAGAGAGAGAGAGAGAGAGAGAGAGAGAGAGAGAGAGAGAGAGAGAGAGAGAGAGAGAGAGAGAGAGAGAGAGGAGGGAGGGAGGGAGGGAGGGGAGGGGGGGGGAAGAGAGAGAGAGAGAAAGAGGGAGGGGAGGGGGGAAGAGAGAGAGGGGGACAGAGAGAGAGGGGGAGAGAGAGAGAGAGAGAGAAAGAGGGAGGGGAGGGGGGAAGAGAGAGGGGGACAGAGAGAGAGGTAGAGAGAGAGAGAGAGAGAAAGAGAGAGAGAGAGAGGGGGGGGGGGAGAGAGAGAGGGGAATATTATTTTATATGCTTTATAGTTTGTACATATTTTTCATTTGCCACAGGTGAGCACAGTGAAGAATCAGAAACACAGAGGGAAAAACTGGAGTTACAGCTGGAGGAACTCAGGTCATATTATGAAGCAAAGCTTGAGCACATGAGAAGTTCTTATGAGAAAGAGATGAACTTTCTCAAAGATAACTACGAGCAACAAATAAAAAGCCTTATCTGCAACAGATTAAATGAATCTGACAATGAAGCATTAGACAGTGCTAATCTTGCTCCATCTGCTTCAAGTTCTGATCAACATGAAGATAAACCTACTAAGATTATACAAGCAGGTGTCAGTGATATAGATTTGAAAGATATATCTCAATCTGCTGAGATGGACCTGTCAGTTACTTTAAAAAGACTAGAATCTGAGTTAGCTGAAAAAGATGCCCAGTGTAAAGAACTAATGGCCAAATTAAAGAGTGAGGAATTAAGGTCAAACTCACTTGAGGCAGATGTAGCAAATTTGAGAAAAGAACTGGAGGATCTGCAGCAGAAATCTTCAGAAGCACTTTCTCAGTGCTCCTATCTTCAAGAGCTGCTTATGCAGAAAGACACTATCATTGAGCAACTTGAGCTGGAGAAGGGGGAAAGTGAGAAACTTTATAGAGACATTCTGGAGAAGGAGTCATCTTCGTCACGGTCACTTGTCAACAGAGATTACCTCAGTGGTGCAGATGGAGATGATTCTTTTGTTTCCGCTAGAGACGTATTAAAAGAGACACCATCACCACATGCTGGCGAAGGTCCTGATCATCAGACATCTGCATGGGCTGGCCATGAAGAAAATATTAACAGTAATAACGTTTATGAACTTGAAGGTTCTTTTCCACATGTGCCTGTCTCAGCTGAGGATGCCATGGGTAATAGTAACAATAACAGTAACAGCAATAACAACTACAGTGATTCTGCCTTAGCATCCCTGGAAGGAATGGTGGAGAATTTGAAGAAGCACATTGAGGAGCTAGACCAACAGCTAATAGAGGCTAAAGAAAGGGAGGCCAAACTTCAGGCTCAAATTGAGGAGAAGGAGTACAGCTTCAAGGAAATGATAGAGGTATACGTTTATTATTGGTTAAATTGAAGAATTAAATTCATTGTTTAGTAACCTTCCAGCAACGCTTAAATAGATTTGTCATAACACCATTTGAATTTAAAAAAAAATCTTTTAAAAATACAGCAGTGTTTACACAGGTCGCTAATAAATTTACTTAAAATATAATTATGTACATTTAAAAATTTCCCTAGAGTTATATAAAGAGTAATTAATATGCAGGAACAGGCTGAAACATTAAATGGAATAAATTCCTTGGTGCTTTAAAAAAATAAACATATCCTGACCTGCTAAACGTTCGCAAGAGTGAAAGGCCAATAGCATGAACTATGTGTTTTGTAAAAAGGCAAGTCGCAAAAGTGACATTTAAAATTGGGAAATTGAACTCAACCAGAGTTGATTTTGCAGCTTCTCAGGGCGACATAATTAAGTCATATTGAGGTATGAGTTCATTAAGTGGCTCTGGGGCTTAGAAGTTAGCGAGCGCATGTTAAGATCATCAATGTACCAGCATTTGATTTCCATGGCAGAGGCTAAGGAAAAAAAACTGTTTTCATGAGTTTTAGTAAGAGGGTTGCCTTATGCAGGTTTGGGCTTTACTGTGCAGTATTCCTAAAATAAAGTAAAGGACCCTTTTCCATGTCCTCAGGCATATTGGGCATATAGGGCTAGACCTATATTTTATAGACCAATTGGCACTCGGGGGGATGAAGTCATCACCCAGGCCGCTTTACTCCAGAGGACTTTATCTAGTACCCAGTACAGTTAAGGCTGGTTCCACTAGAATCCAAGGTCATTTTTTTTAAAGAAAAATATTCAAGATCTGCCAGGACCCAAACACAATCTTCTGATCCACAGGATCGATACATCGCGGTGGCCAGTATTCCCAAAGACAAAAGTGAAGACTATGCATGCAGGCAGTCTTCATTGTAGATAGAGATGACACTTTTAAAGAGGATGGGAGACATTTAGCATTCATTAAATTATATTGATATATAAGTTTATTGGTCTGTGCTTTAGGAGTTATGAGTGCAATTTCTTAATTTTGACACACCTGTTTGGATTCAGTGCAGACAATATGGCAGCTGATCACTTTGCATTGATTCCGATTATAGGGTATGGAGCACTGAAAGGAACTGCAGGCTGTTTGGCTGGAGGCTTAGTGCTCATAGGGTACTTTATAACTGAAAGCAAGCAACTTGTTAAAAAAAAAATTACATGTTCATGAATGAAGTGCATCAGCCATTACCATTAAGGTTTGGCATATTCAAAATCTTTTGAGTCCTAATTGTGTTTAATTGTCTTAGCAGACACATTAAGATGTTGATGTTTAATTTTTACTGGGCTCTCATGTGTCATTTGATTCACATAATTTCATGCCATAAGTTCTAGAATATAAAGAGGATAAGAGGATTGGTGCTATCTTTCTTCTGGAGTAAACAAAGCCGGCTGAGATAAGGATCATGAAACATGAGCAACACATAGTCTCTACAGTACTGTGCAGGCTTTTTACTGTGGCAAGGAGGAATTTTATCCCTGGCCTTTGGTTGGTCAAGGAAACAAAATTCAGAGGCAGCAGTTATGGGTTATAAGTCTTTGTCACTTGGTGCAGATGAAGCCGCCATGGGCTGCCTTTGATGGTGGGAAACATTTTCTAGTGTCCCGATCAGCTACTGCCCACCTTTAGCTGGGCAGCTCCCAACCAATAAGGTGATGATCTGCCACTACCTGTATGTTTCAGTAGATGCTTGGAGCTAGGACATAAATCTGAATTAAATGTTGTAAATTCACAAAATACTAATCTCACGATTAAAATAAGAAAGCTTACCTGTGAAATTGTGTTCTCAGCACTTTTTTTTTTTGGGTAGTGAAACTTGGTTGACTTAGCTTTCACATGCGATGCCTAAGAAAAATACCTGGCATTAAGTGGCAAGGTTAGTTGCGTATCCTTTACAGGACGTTGCAGAACCAACACCAACAGCCACTGGCTGTTATGTTGTTTTTCTAGGCAAATTTACATCCAGTAGTTTGAAGTGGCAAGACAAGATCATAAACACTGAGGTATTGGAAAGAGCAGGTATCACAACAATTGTCTCAATGATAAGTCTCTGAAGACTCAGATGGCTAGGTCACACGTCGATGATGGAGGATAGTCCTCTGTTTGAATTACACATGGGTAGAAGAAGTTGAGGTCCAACCTCTACTACAATGTGAAGATGTGTGCAAGCAGAACATGAATGATACAGGTACTGAGGTAGTTTCCTGGGAACAGAATGCTATGGAGAGAGAAAATCAGGAAGGAAATAGGAATAAAGGAGAAAGTGATTGCTAATAGGTTAAGAGCTGAGTGTATGAGAATAAACACATTAAATATATGCAATGACAACAGTGGTCCTGAAATCCCATACTGTAATTGTGGAAGACTTTACTCGACATGAGTAGGTCGTGCTTCTCACACTCAACATCACCATGGGTTGTGATTCCACACCTCCATGTTTCAAAAGTTAATACTGTGGTCTGTAAAGATGAAAAGTGCCAGTGAGTCACAAGACATTTATATTAAGTCTGCTATTTGTTCATCACCTAATGTGGCATAATCTCTCTGGCAATTCACACCACTGTTTTATAGACTTGTTGATGGTTGGCTGCATTAGTCAGCCTCATTCCTCCTTCTTAGTTGTCTCTTACAACACGCTTGGCAGGCTAACGTTAACTATTATTAACTCTTATATACCGGTAACTTGTTACTTATGTTTATTTGTGTTTTCTTTTCAGAGCATCAGATTAGAGCTAGAGCATGAGAGACAGATGGAAGTGGAAACCTTGCAGTCTGAGTTTAAAGTTCAGTTGGAGATTGAGTTAAAGAGACAGGCAGCAGAATTATTAATGTCACAGTCTACGGAAGAAGCTCCAGCTGTCCAAACAGAAAGTAAATTGCTGCATCCAGAAGCACTGTCATCTGGAATAGTAGCTTCTCAGTCGGATAATGAACAAAGGGTCACTAGTGAAGTTTTCAGCAAGCAGAAATCAGAACAGGAAATGTCTGCATTGTCTCAGCCTAATGTGACAGATTCTGACAATAAACATCATGATGCATTGCATCAGAGATCTGAATTTTACCTCCAGCAAGTTACTCTAGAAGCAGCACTTGTACCAGCAGAAGCTGCTGAGGTGACCAGTGGAGGTAGTGTTTCTGAACATATCAATGAAGAGTCCACTGCCACTGTTTCTACATTATCCTGCCAAGACAACTTGGAAATTGTATCTCCCTCCACGCATGTTCTGACGGTGACTGACATGGAAAATGTTATTGCAAAAATTGAAAAACAATATGAAGAAAGAATTGCAGTACTAAAAGAACAATTAGAACAGCTAAGTGAGGAAAGAGCGTTGTTGATTTCCAGACATCAGGAAGAATTGGAGAGAATCCGCAAGCAGTTGAATGACACTGAAGATGAATATGAGCATCTTTTGGAGGGTATGATTTGTTTCATTTAGCATTTTGAAATTAATTTTTTTAATGAGCTAGACTATAAAATGAATTTTTATTGTTTACTATTTTCCATTGTAAATATAGGAAAATTTGGAACATGAAATATCCACAATTAATTTGTTCTATTTCAAATTTGACTCTATTAAGATAGATTTTTGATGAAATATAAAATATATGCTCAGAATGTATTGGGGTCACCAACTGTAAAGAGAAGACCAGTCAGAGAGCTAAATGGAGGCCTATGATGTCTGCAGAGATGAACCTCAAGGTCTCTAAATGCTGACAAAGAAGAATACTTTTAAAATCTGGCTTGGTATTTCTACACCGTATTCTGACAGAAGTTACATACAGAGACAAGGGAAATATTTCAGCTGCATTAAAAGACCTTGGCTTATAAACTGTTATAAAAACTAGAGGAAAATATTTAATGTGACTGAGCAAGAGGCAGACAGGGATACAATTGTGGAGGATAATATTGAGAGATGGGCGAATGCTATTCTGAGAGAATTCATCCACAGTAAAAGACAGATCTGGCTGAGATCCAGTGCAGCCAACATTCATTGCGGAGATGGCACCTGATTGATTTATTCCTGCCATTGAAAAGCATTTGTGTGTGTGTTTATCACTGTTGTTATTGGCATCAACTACAAAACCTTTTAGAACAGAAAACAATTACACATTTGTAGTAAGCCTCAACGTATACTTATGTTGGTGTGATGTCTTCAGAATGATCATGCAGTCCAAGGACTAATAAGACATAATATTGCTAATTAGCTAAGGGCACTATGGGCTGGCTGATGATTGAAGGTATTTCTGATATCACTTGGGGGGGGGGGTCAATTAATCTTGGGGGGGGGGGGGGGGGGTCAATTAATCTTGGGGGGGGGGGGGTCAATTAATCTTGGGTGGACAGTTAATCTTGGGGGGTCAATTAATCTTGGGTGGACAGTTAATCTTGGGGGGTCAATTAATCTTGGTGGGGGGAAAGGGGGGGGGGTCAATTCTTCTTCTTCTTCGCGTTAACCAGCTGTAAACTCCAGTGAAAAGTTCTGGTTGTTCGTCCACCTCTGGACTACAGTCCTGTTCCAGAAACTGAGTGTTGTGCATGCATCCGTTTTACAGATGTGACTCATTTGTATGCAGACTGCTGGTTCCTTGCCTTTCAGGCAGATGCATTCCGACTTCGAAGTAAACTCCCAATTAGTCGGCCCTTACGACATGCTTTTGGGTAGGCAGTGGGTCTATTCTTGTTTTTCCTATAATTGGGCCCACACGGGAAGGGGGGTAAATTAATCTTGGGTGGTCAATTATTTTAGGTGGTCAATTAATCTTGGGTGGCCAGTTAATCTTGGGTGGTCAATTATTATTGGGATAGACCTCAGCTTTAATATAAAGATATGCACAATTGTGACATGAATAATATCTATATTCAAATGAATTGAGCTGCACAATAGCTTTCATAAAGGTATGTCGGTGTGTTGGAAAATGAGCAGGAAGATAGACTGGCCGGTTCTACACCACTTTTTGGTGAATTGATGTATGAAAATCTAGATGTTGTGAGTAAACAGTGAGGAGGCACAAATAGGGGATCTGGCTGACACTAAACACTCAAGGTAAAGGGAGACAGATATACAGTCAGACAGTTACTGGTTCCATTGGAATTGGAACTCTTAACTTGCCAAAGCAAAGATGGGGACGGAGCACTTATGGGAGTATCCAGAGTGCTGTGATGTTGATTATCCCTGCCTCTTGATATAAGTTTTCTGATAGAAGGATCAAAGAAGACAAAGATGGATTCCTCAGAACATGATGCTTGAAGGGAAAAAACTAGGAGGGGAATAAGGACAAGGGACATAATGATTGAAATTCCAGAGCTAAGCTTTGGAAATATATTTGTGGTGACTGAATATCTCATTACAGGGTGATCTGAACAGTATTAAATGTCACTGTCATTTTCTCAGTGAAATCTCTGTTGCGTATTTTGTAAGGTTAGGTCATGTCTGAAAGGTTCAGTCCTACTAAAATTTTGGACAACGATCTCAGGACTTATCCTAGTGCGATAACTGTTGCGATAACTTTATGATATTTTTTTATATGGCACTACATTAATGATATTATATTTGAAATACTCCAGATGCCCAGAGTGGAGAGCAGAAAGAAGTGTATCAGCTCTTGAAAGACAAATATGATGAAGAACTTGAAATCGCTAAATCTATTATGCAGAAAGAATTTGATCAGACTCTATCAGAAGAAAAGGTTGGATGTGTTTATGCCTAGTAAACTGTATCTGCATGTCGGTCTGTGATAATATTGTTATTTCGTACATCATTTTTTTTTTGGAAGTATTCCGAACAGTTTGTTGTTTGTTTAGTTACTTTAGTGAACTTGGTCATTGTGCTACAAGAATCAAATTAATGCAAATCCTTTAATGTTTCCAAGAAGTTTGCGCTGCACCATTATCAATATTTTAAAATTAAGAATGGGAGACAGTCCTTACAGTTATTTAGTACTTTATTGTCCAATAAGAAAAATTTTATGTTTAAATTTCAGAAAATGTTTGTTGAGAGACACAGACAATTGATGGATGGCTTTATGGAAGATGGAGAAAGAAGGGAGCAGGAAGCAGAAGAAAGACATCATGAAGAGCTACAGACATTGACCAGAAAGTTTGAGCAGACTGTTCAAGATTATGAGGTTAATATATGTTTACAGAATTATCAAATATAGTCTTTTGTAAATTTGGCATGCAAACATAGCCAGTATTTGTGTTTCAGGACTATATTTTCAGTCTGTCGGTAGCCTAAAATTGAAGTCTAAATTTAAACTCTTTAGCCACTTGCACATGCAGGCCACCTAAAACCAGACAGTTACGAGACAGACACTGAAATGGCAAATGAATAGACTGGGGGAATCAGAAAGAAATGGAAGAATAGACTGAGCATTTTGTGACTTATACTGGCATGATAGGATGATGACACTTAAAATGATGATGACACACAGAAAAGATCTTGCAGTTATATTTGTATAGAGGTTTTCCTTCTAACAATCATCATCATGTTGCTGGTCTTTTCAGAACGTCACTGTCATTACGGCCAGCCTGAAAAAAAAAACTTGACTGTGTTTCTGCCTCATGCACTCTGCTACCTGGGGTGTCACTTATATCCTGTATCCATGTTAATGTTGTTTAGCCCCTGCTCCTCTTTCTTGGCGCAATGCCTTTTGCTACTGTACTTGTCAGTCCACTGTGTTGCTTGATATGGCCAAAATATGTCACTTATTGAGACAAGATGCTGTTTACTAGTTAATCTTCCGTGACCTTCATATCTTTTAGTATCTCAGTATTTCTTTTCCTCTTGGTTCATGGTATTCTGAGAGTCTTTCTATAGCATTTGAGTTCAGAAGCCTCTTATTTTCTTCCTTAATGACTGTGAGATCATCCACGACTCACATCTGTATGTTACTGCAGGGAATGTACACACCCTTAAAATTTGGGCCTTGATTTTCTTGCTGATGTTTAACCATAGAGTTTTAATACTGTTAATCTTTGCATTGCTATGACCATCACCCCTTTGACTTCTGTTGAACAGTCTTTGCTGCTGTTTATTTTAGAGCCCAGATATTTAGACTTTGTTGTGACATTTTCAATTTCTTAATCATTTATTGTAATTTTGTATGACAGGCACATTTGTCTGTGGACCTTATTTTTTTTTTCCTTCTAACACAGTACCAAAATACCACAACTCTAGGGATGATATGAAGCTTCTTCCTAGCACTTGAAAACTTGATCACAGATTTGTTATTGCTTTTTTATTTGTAATTGTTTTCTTAGCTAAATAAACCAGATGTTTGCATAGAGTACTTTATCAACCCACCATTTTTTTACAGTCACATTTGTGTGTATTCACATACACATGTTCGTTTTCCTCTATTAGAGCACATGTTTTTCAGCATGCAGCATATGATAAAGAGTTCAGTGTATGTGTGCTTTCACATTCTCACTAGATTAGATTCTACAGCATTTCTCACCATTGTCACCATAGTTTGAATTGGGCAGTGGTATCCTCTGGTAAAAATTGTCAAGATGAATCAGACACCTATTTGTCTGTTGGTGATGGAGCAGAGATATAAAGATGAGAAGACAGGGGGGCATTCAAGGTTTTCATATCACTGGGAAATATGTGGTCGCAAATGGATTTTAAAATTAATACTAGACATTAACAGTGCGGCTATACTACAGATTATATTGGTGAATGATGAAGAAACATGGATAACAGTTGAAGCAGTTGCTGATAAACTGCAAACATTAAGGGATTGGTGGCTTAGCATAATAGTGGTAATTAAATGGTATAAATCACTACTAATGTGGAGCTTTGGCAAAAATGAAACAAATTTAAGTGCATCAAGAGGTTATAAAAAACATGTTGTCATTAGATAGTGCACACGTTTAGAAAACTTGATAATAATAATAATGCCACAGAGAGTGCCACACTAAAGAAAAACCTTGAAAACAGTCTGAAATACATGAAGGTATAAGTTCGTGATCAGCATCTAGGCTCATGTGAGTTGATAATGCAAAGAGTATTCTACAGTAGAAAAGTACCTCTGCAATCAGACATCTTGAGCAAAAGCGAAAACTAAAATTTCCACATTAAACAGTAGGCACTAGCACAAAGTACAAGTTAAACAAAAAATAGAGATGTGATAAACATAGTGTACCTGAACCAGGAGAGAAGATTCTAGACAGTTTGGTATCATTGCATGGAAGATCATCTGTACAAGAAAAGATTGAATTTTCTCAAATCAGGAGACTGGAAAAACATGATTACCTGTGCTGTAAGGAATGGACATTAAGAAGAACCTGGAACAATATTTTAGGTGATCCGAGATTGATGTGCACAGTTTATTTTCTCAATTGTTAATTACCACAGTAATTTTCGTTGATGTTGTTTCTTGTAAACTTCACATTCACTTTAATAATCACTGCATGTTAAGTTCACTGCATTGTTCACAACAGCAAGAAATAGAGAAACTAAGCCATGACCTAAAACTGTTGAGGGATGCCAGACTTGAGGAGACAGATGAACCAGAGGGAACCATGAAATCTGACCGAACATTGCCAGAAATTGATGAGATTACCTTCAGCTTTCAGGTCTGAAAAATAGAACTTGTGGTAGTTTAGATAACAAGTTTAGCTTTCAGTTGTTCACTTACTCTATGAAAACATGCATATTGTTGTACTGCTCACTTTTTTTTTTGGGGTCAATGTTTTCTTTCAATGGTTAAGATTTGTTGCATCCACAAACATTATGTACTGTCTCCACATTTAAGTTTAGCTACTGCACCACTTTGGGAATATTATGCAGTGAGGCCCCAATATCTTCCTAAGTGCATCTCTCGTCCGGCTGTCCGAAAACCACAAGAAGTTTTTTTGTTTTTTTAATGTGTGTTTTAAATTAAGCATTCATTGCAGAAACCAAACCCTGGTACTCGAGGATCATAAAATTGTTAAATACAGTCACTAACCTCTAAGCACTTAACCACACTGCAGCCACAAAGGTAATGTTTTTCCTTAACCACATTAACTACCAGCTGAAATCGCCATATACAATTGTTTACTAATTAATATTTTCAAACCAGAAAGCAAGTCTATAATTTCAGCTTTATTTGCTTTCATTAATTACAGTTTTTGTCTTGGGGTATTCGAGAGAAACATAGATAAATTGTGGCTGGTTTGTCATTCTTTTATTTATCTGCATGCAGAATGGCACTTTAATGGCTCATAGTAATTAATTCATTAACAGTAAGGGATAATAGAATCTTGAGTCGGATTTGACTTTTGGGAGAATTCTGCTTGATCATTCCAGGTATCCACAGGTAAGCCACATGAAGTGGTCTAAAAAAAAAACTGACATTACTTCTTGTATTTACCTTTTCTGCATCAATTGGGGGAGGGTGGTCTTTGAGCCTGAGAATTTAGGGCGCATAGTTAGTACTGTCCCCACAGACAACTGCAGGTTCAAATTTTAATTTTGTCCCCGACAGAAAATAATCCCCAACCTTACAGAGGATTTTGACTCAGGTGTTCCGCTTGAGAACCTTGGTTTCTTAACCATTCGGCCAGCCGCTCATCAGTAGAATAATATAAAGGTATCAGTTTTTTTCTCATTCGAAAAGTATCGGTTTGAATCCAGCTGTGGACAGTACCCCCAGAGCAGATTTGTAAAGAGGATTTCAGTGATGCCATGCTGTTCACTAATGTCGGAAGTTGACCCCATGGCTGTCCTTCCTAGACAAGGAAAAGTGTGTGTCCCATGTGTCAAACTCTCTCAGTACCAAACAGCTAACTCACTAAAGGTTTCTTGGTCATCATAAAGCTAATGTGATTTTCCTACTGCATTGTACCAAAAGCAGAAGATACATTAATCCCTTGTATCTGAGTTATTTAACTACTCTGGTCTTCTGATGTCTCAGGTGAAAGCCTCCAGAGGTAAGCATTCACAATTTTCAAGCTCGGTGTCTTGGGTTAGAGCGAATCAACATAACAGTTTCTTTGGACTGAGAGAGTAAATGGGTACATTAATAGTACACCAGCTGATTTTTAGAAATGGTAACGAGGAGTTTGTGAAATAGAGGTGTCACCTGAGATATGGAAACACTTTGTGCTATATTTATTAAGTTGCACTTGTTAAATTGTCTGCCTTCACAATTTCATGCTGTGTTCATGTGTATGGCTGATTTATTTTTCTGTTGAACAGGAAGTGGATTCGAAGGCTGATTCGTTTGATTCTCCACGCAGCCAGGGGGCATCTGCAGAACCCAGGCATCACTACACGGATGGCACTGGTGCAGTGTACCATGGCAGCGATGACGAAACAGATGCTAACACACACTCCACCATGCAAATAAGAACATTTGCAGATGTTGTAAAGATTCCTGCACCATTGACAGTCTCAGAGAGACAAAAGTTTGAACTGAAAATTCAACAGGTAGTTACAAGCATAAACTATCTGAGCTCTTTTGATAAGCTCATTTAAAAAGTCGATCTAAGTCGTAGTGGAAAAGCACCATTACACAGTTTCAGATCTTTCTCTCAGATCTATCAGATAGTCCTAGAAATTTGTGGAAGTTCTGGAGAAAGATCTGAAATTGTGAACGGCTCCTTTTCGCTACAGCTTGGTATACTTTTTTGAATAACTCATGTGTTACACAAGAATGTTGTCATTATCTGCCTTTATCATGCGCAACCTTACACTGATCTCTGAATGTCTTGCACCAGTCACCCACAGAACTGTCACTTATAACATTATCACTGTAAACACGACACAATTGACGGTAAATCCTGACAGCATTTTGACCTTCTGCTTAAAAAAAACAAATCACAATGATTTTTACAAGCAGCAGGAAAGCAGTAACTGTGTCCATATTCATTATTTCGTGATTCATGAACCACCAAACAAATACGACTGTAGGTCGATGTGTGGTGAGGTAAAAGACTACTGAATGATACAAGCAATGAATAGTTTCTCTATGGCAAACGGTTTGTTTTGGTAAACTAAATGTTACTGTCCTTGCTAACTTTAATGGGTTTCTAATTTATGACATTTATGTTCACAGTTGGTAACTGAGGTGGAAAGATTAAGACAGCAGCTAAGAGAAGCTGAACATCGTGAGTCTGTGCTGGCACACTTGTCCAGCAGTGACACCCAAACAGGAGATGACCCTGCCGTCATTGCCATGCTAAGGTCGGAGATTGAGAGGATCAGTGCTGAAAGGTTAGTGCATGTCATTTATCATAGTACAGTGGTTTCCAACCTTGTTCAGGTGGCGCCCCCTTGACTGCTAGATCCCCTTAACTGAGAACAAAATGTGATCCATAAAAGGAGGAATGTGTTCTTAATCTATAATTAAATACACTTATCATCTTTTTCTTCTTTCTTTACGTTCACCGGCTGTAAACTCCGGCAGAAAGTTCTGGTTGTTCGCCCACTTCCAGACTACAGACCTGTTCCAGAACCTGAGTGTTGCGTGTGCATCTGTTTGACAGATCTGTTGCAGACTGTTAATTCTTTGCCTCTCAGGCAGATGCACTTCGCTTTTAAGGAAAAATACAAGAAAATGAAGAAGAATATGTTAACTGAAGAATGTTTTCTTGTTGTGTAACAAGTATTATTACTGGCCGAGTTTTGTTTGCCTCAGACTCTGAACAGTTTTGTTCCCCTATCTGTTGTGATTTCTTCATATCTCTCTCTCTCCCTCCCCCCTCTCTCTCTCTGTCTGTCTGTCTGTCTGTCTGTCTGTCTGTCTGTCTGTCTGTCTGTCTGTCTGTCTGTCTGTCTGTCTGTCTGTCTGTCTGTCTGTCTGTCTGTCTGTCTGTCTGTCTGTCTGTCTGTCTGTCTCTCTCTCTCTCTCTCCCCCCTTTCTCTCTCTCTCCTTCCCCCCCCTCTCTCTCTCTCTCCCCCCCCCCTCTCTCTCTCTCTCTCTCTCTCTCTCTCTCTCTCTCTCTCTCTCTCTCTGTGTCTGTCTGTCTGTCTGTCTGTCTGTCTGTCTGTCTGTCTGTCTGTCTGTCTGTCTCTCTCTCTCTCTCTCTCTCTCTCTCTCTCCCCTCTCTCTCCCTCCCTCCTGATTTAGAGAGTTACAAAACTTTAAATAGTTGTTCTATGATGATAATATGCTTGATATAAAAATACAGTTACCATATGAAAGACAGGCCTGCATGCCCAATTTGTGACCCTTTGGAAATGAAGTTTGTCCATTCATTTGTTCTCTGTATATGTGTGTGTCAGGCAGATGCACTTCGACTTCGAAGAAAGCTCCCAATTAGTCAACGCTTGCGACATGCTTTTGGGTAGGCAGTGGGTCTATTCTTGTTTTCCCTATAATAGGGCCTCGGAACCCATACGGGCAACTTATTTTGATATTAATTAGATTTTGAATGGTAGACAAACTGCTCAGAAAAAAAATAGTCTTGGCCATATATATGTATGTGTGTGTATATATATATATATATATGTCGCTCTCTCTGTATCCCTTCATCGGTCCCTCTCTCCCACTGTATCCCTCTGTCTATCCCTCTCTCCCCTTTCTTCTCCTTTTCCCCTTATATAATCTGCTTTACATAGTCTTTCACTCTCACTCTTTTGTGTTCCCCACTGCTGTTGACAGCAAAGATTTGGTGTTAGGTTATGGCTTTTAAAAAGCGGTTGTTATGTTTTGTCACAGGGAAAGTGTCTTGAGGACAAACAGTCGTTTGTTCAGTCTGCTGTCTGAGAATGTAAAGACTTACATTGGTGTGGAAGACACAATCAACCATAGACTCAGCCTAGTTGTGGCTGGCGCCCGGCCACCTGTGAGTCATCCTTCTGATGATATGGAGTCTCATGAACTCAGCCAAGATAGCCTTGACCTGCCTGGAGCAGTCGGCTTCGCAGCTCATGATAGTCCAGAAGCAAGAGGAGGTATGTAGATGAATGAATGAGAAATTGACATCACTGCACTCAGGTCATTCCTGCATGTGCTCTCTCCCCCCCCCCCCCCCCTTTTTCAGTAGCCAATGAAAAGTCCACATGCTAATAGTATGTAGATGAAAGTCTGCTTAGATGGATGCTGGTTAGGTACTTTAGATTAGATTATATCATATCATTGTAGTCCTTGTTTTTTTTTGTTTTTTTTTTACATTTACACTTCCTTATTTTATTTATTCTCACTTGAAGCAGGCATTTACACTTCCTTATTTTATTTATTCTCACTTGAAGCAGGCATTTACACTTCCTTATTTTATTTATTCTCACTTGAAGCAGACATTTACACTTCCTTATTTTATTTATTCTCACTTGAAGCAGACATTTACACTTCCTTATTTTATTTATTCTCACTTGAAGCAGACATTTACACTTCCTTATTTTATTTATTCTCACTTGAAGCAGACATTTACACTTCCTTATTTTATTTATTCTCACTTGAAGCAGTCATTTACACTTCCTTATTTTATTTATTCTCACTTGAAGCAGTCATTTACACTTCCTTATTTTATTTATTCTCACTTGAAGCAGTCATTTACACTTCCTTATTTTATTTATTCTCACTTGAAGCAGACATTTACACTTCCTTATTTTATTTATTCTCACTTGAAGCAGACATTTACACTTCCTTATTTTATTTATTCTCACTTGAAGCAGTCATTTACACTTCCTTATTTTATTTATTCTCACTTGAAGCAGGCATTTACACTTCCTTATTTTATTTATTCTCACTTGAAGCAGTCATTTACACTTCCTTATTTTATTTATTCTCACTTGAAGCAGTCATTTACACTTCCTTATTTTATTTATTCTCACTTGAAGCAGTCATTTACACTTCCTTATTTTATTTATTCTCACTTGAAGCAGTCATTTACACTTCCTTATTTTATTTATTCTCACTTGAAGCAGTCATTTACACTTCCTTATTTTATTTATTCTCACTTGAAGCAGTCATTTACACTTCCTTATTTTATTTATTCTCACTTGAAGCAGTCATTTACACTTCCTTATTTTATTTATTCTCACTTGAAGCAGTCATTTACACTTCCATTTGCATCGTCAAGCAAAATTAAATACTGTCTTAGTTGATTAATTATAATTTCCTGAAGATATGCATAAATTACAATTAAATTCATTTGTGTATAGTAATTTTCAAGACACAAACATTATTACAGTATCACTGCTGTAATTTTAACAGCATATATGTCTGTATTTGTTAGAGAGTGTTAGTGGAAGAGGGAAGAAGGATAAGGAATTTAGACTGAGAAAGAGGGAGGGGGGAGGAGAGATTGGGAGTGAGAAAGGGAGGTCCTCTTGTGGGTTCTGGGAAAACAAGGAAAGACCCACTGACTCCCCAGGTGAAAACCTCCAAATGTAAGTCATATTGAGAGGCTTCTTTCGAAGTCAGAGTGCATCTGCCCAAGCGGCAAGGAACAACCACTGCACCCAAATAAGCCAGTAAAACTGAAGTAAAAGCAAAAATTGGGTTTTTCACCGGAGCCTACAGCCAGTGAACAAAGAAGAAGAAGGAAGAGAGGAAGGGAGAGAGGAAGTGAGATGGTACAGATATCAAGGCGAAGAATCTTCAGTAAATATAGTTGTGGTTAAATGGGAAAAAAAAATCTTATTAATTGAATGTTTATTCTCATGAAGCTGCTGCACCTGATGGAGATCTTAGTCAGGATAGCCATGGCTTTGAAAACACCAGCCTGTTATCTAATGCCACTGATGAGGGTCTGGAGGTGTCTCAGAGGCTTGCTGAGAGCATCTTTGTTGGTCCTGACCTGGATGCTGAAGGCGAAGACATTGTAACAGGCAAGTGGGAAATTTAATTAATGAAATGAAAATTAGATTTGAGTAATGCAAACACAGACAGTACTGTATACAATTTATTACCAGGCATATTTTGCTGTGTCTCATTGGATGCTTTTTTACAGTTAGTTAGCATGGAAATAAGCACAAAAATTGAATTATTTCCACTGATATACACACATCACATTGTCCCTCTCGACACATTGCTAACCTAATCACCAGAAGATTGAGGTAGTCATGTGATATCAAGATGGTGCTTGCTAACTCTTGTAGGTGCTCATGCTTCTCCAACAGCATGTATCAGTTGTTTTGACACTCTTCCATGCCATGACAAAAAAAAGCTGTGAAGAATTGTTTTGCATTGTCTTCCTCTTTCTTTTTCCACAGATCTTTTCAGTGGTCACATGTTTCAGTTTTCTTCTTCTCAGAACGAGACCAAAATATGATGTTTCTATCTCATGTCAGTGATAAGTTGTATTTGAGCCCTTACACCTCTTTCAGAACATCTGGATTGCTCTTTTTTCAGGGTTCGTAGTGGACCGGAAAATCTTGAATTGACCGTGAAATTGATTTTCCTACCAGGAACCGTGATTTTCACCTTAAAAAAGACATTCTGACCTTAAGAAGCCAAGAATTTTGACCACTGCAAAGAGATCGTCTTAATTCCTGCTATTTTCAGCAGTTAGGCTATTTTTGGGGCAGTTTGACTTTTTTTGTAGCCATTTGGCTAGTTTTGGCTACTTTCGTTTACAGTTGTTTCAGGTATGAGAGTAGCTGATAATCGGCTATTTTCAGCTGAAATTGCTTGTTAAAGGCCAGGGAAGGGTGAGCTGTGTTGCAGCCCATGAATACATGCAGAAAGCGCAGCGTGGCATGGGGAGGGAAGAAGATGATGCCGTCTAGTGTGTGCGTTTGCCTTTGTTTCTAGCGAGTCCGGCAGAATTAATAGTATAAATATCTTTATAGCCGTGGTTTCTAGAAAGGATTACATTGGGAGATGGTGGGGCTCGGGTCCGTCTGTATTTATAAATAGAGTCGGCCCTGGTGGGGCTAAGCAAAGTGACGTCAGCTGGATTTCCCAGTTCTATTTTTGGCCTGGTTTATCTTTACGGTGTGTTTGGCGATCAGTATTGTAATTTCCCGAGATTCCCATTTCTGGTGTCTCACCCCTCTCTCTCTCTTTTTCTCTCTCTTGCCTCCCTCTTTCACTCTTCTAATTATTGCCCCTTCCTTCCCGTCTGATCTTCATCTTCTTCTTTTTCTCTCTATCTGGTCTTTTTACTCTCTCATATCCTGTTTCTCTCCCACCCACCCCACCCCCCCCCCCCCCCCTATCTCTTTTCCTCGCAACACAAGAACACAGAAAGTTGTGTTATGATTGTGTGGGTAATCTGCTCTATTTTCCACCCAGTGGTGGGTTAGGATCCCCTGGACTTTTTTTCTTAATAAAATGACCTTGGCTCCCAGGTCACCAGCCTTAAGTTTAAGAAATTGAACTATTGTTGTCACACGCAGAGCGGACAAGCATGGGGCGGGTAGGGGTTAGCACTGTTGTTTATGGACCACAGCCACATTCACATTGGGAGAGGGTAGGAAACGGAAAAGTGGCCTCACTTAGATTTCCTAATTCTATTTTTGGCTCTCAGTGTTCTAATCGTCACCCCCCCCCCAAACCCCATGTCTTACCTCTCTTCTCTCACCCCTTCTCTTTCCTTTGATCTTCCACTCTTCTCCTTTATCTCTCCATCCTTCCTCTCTTCCTTTCCTTACTCTGTTCTCTCTTGCTCTTCCTCCTGTCCTATCTCTTCTTTGTCTCCTCTCCATCCTGTCTTCTAATTTTCTTTAGATTTCCTTACCCTCTCCTCTCTCTCATTCCCCCCCCCCCCCCCCCCCCCCCCCCCCCCCCCCCCCCCATATTTTCTGGTTCTTCTACATGTTTTGTTGCCCCATAACCATCTTTTCCTAGTGGTTGTGTCCAGTACACTTGAAATTGTGTCGGGGGAGTGGGTGGGGTTTCAGCATAAGGCTGTTTTTTTTTTTTTATGTATCTTGTCTCCCTTCCTGCCCCTCTCTCTTAATCTGTGTTTGTCATTGCTTTCCTTACCCATCTCTCTCTCCCTCTCTCTTGCTTTATGTCTGTTTGCCTCCCTTCATCACTTCATCTTTGTATACCTCCCTCCCATTCTCCTGCTCTGCCTTTTTTCTCTTTCTTTGGTTATCTCACTCTGTCTGCTTGCCTCTCTATGCTGTCCCCTTGTCTCTCTCTCCTTTATGTCTACATGTCTCTCTGCTTGCATCTGCTTCTCTTTCTGTCCGTTCTCTCTCCCTCTGTCTCCCTTCCTTCAACTCTCTTTGTCATATTTTCCTCCTTCCATATCTCTGTTTCTTTCCCTTTTTCCTTCTCTCTTCATCTGCCCATCTCTGTATCTGCATTCCCTCTTTCTGTATTTGTCTCCCTCTCTGTCTTTCGCTGTCCCTTCCCCACATTCCCTCATCATGTCTCCATCCCTCCCTCTCGTTGCCATATTTGTTCCTCCTTATCCAGACTCCTTTTCCTTCTTTTCTCTACCTTCATCTGTCTATCTTTACACTGTCTCTTCCAGTCAACCTCAGCATGTGTCTTCCTCCCTCTCTGTATTTCTATCTCTCTCTCTTTCTCACTCCCCCTTACCCTTTCAGGTACCAGGTCTAGAACAAACAGGATTTAAGTTTGCTGCCCTCTACCACCAAGTCTAAAAAAAATGTTCAAACACTATATCAAGCTCAGGGGCCGACCAACACACAGGATGGGCACAGGATATAAGTGACTCCTTGATTATAAAACTACATGAGACGGGAGAGCTGGCGAGATACCGAGTTTTTTTTCAGGACGAAGGACCTGCTACATCATGATCATGATATATGTGCTGGTTTACCAAGACATGTGGCATGAATGAAGTACATTGAGTGCTCGGTACACCCTTGAACAAGGCAAAAATCTTGTTTCAGTATTACACCGAGACAACCTTGGAAAAATACTAAGGAGACCTTGAAAAAGACTTTGAAAAGCCTTGGAATTGATTGGTAAATTTGGCTATGAACCCTGTTTTTTTTTAGCCGTCCAATGAATTCCAAAGATTCTTATGTAAAATCATATCTCTGAAGCGTCCAGAAATTGTTTCATGACCATTTGTTTTGACTGACTGTGTATGGCAATTATGGTTGTTACCACGCCAAATTAAAATTTACCACAAATTCCTTTTGCTTAAATAAAAAGGATGAGTAGTTTTTAATTATAAAAACCTTTGCCAGCTTCAGTAGTCTCCTGTGTGGTCTGGTAAATAACAGGGAATGCACTGTCCTTATCGATTAAATGTCCGGACTCCAGGATATAGTCCTGTTGAAGCATAGTTTTAATCTGAATTGACCTTGAGACATCTTTGTGAGTGTTCATAATTTGCATATGGAGCCATTTAGGAATGTGTTCTCCCACTGTTTCTAAGCCGTCTCTCTGTGTGATCATCATAAGATAACTGGCATTTACTTATAAATTCATAAATGCAAATAGATTTAGAGTACGGAAACACAAGTTCTTTAAATATCAGGAATGGGAATACGAATACCACTGTTTTTAGTCGGTCCTGCAAATGTTTCATGTCATCATCCTTTTGAGATTCTAATTGAAAATATACTTGTAGTATAGGCACTGTTCAATGATACACCATTGCTGGAGTCTAGACATGTACCACACACTGGACACTGCTGATGCTGGTGGAGGGTTTATGTCTAGTTTCATTTTTTGAAACTGGACTGACCGTAGAAACAAACTGGTTAGAAAAATTGTTTGCCTCTGCTTGGATTTGAACCTGAACCACAGTCTTAGAAGGAAAGTGCACTAACCAGTACGTTATAGTGTCACTATATATAGGAGAAGCTGTTTAAGTGTTTTATTTCTTATTACATTAACAGATGCCAGCGGCCGTCTTCAAAATGCAGTAGGCCAGCTGTTGGAATTGTTGGAGAGGTCAACTGTGCAATTAAAGGAAGCAAAAGCTACACAGCAGGAACTCTTGGACACATTAGCTTCAAGAGCCCAGGAATTAGAATTGACTAAAATTAGATGCAGTGAGTTGGACAGTCAGTTGACTGCTGAAATTGAGGCCAAGGAGTACTTAGTTCTAGAGTTGCACAAGGCTGAAGGTAAGTCTTGATCTTCTAGTCTGACTAAAGGCTCAAATATCCCATTCTAGTTGTAAACCACAATACAATGTGCTAACTATTATTTTAATGTCAAATGCAGAAGAAGAGTTTGTTTAAATTATTCTTAACTTTCAATTCTCTCTCTCTCTCTCTCTCTCTCTCTCTCTCTCTCTCTCTCTCTCTCTCTCTCTCTCTCTCTCTCTCTCTCTCTCTCTCTCTCTCTGTCTGTCTCTCTCTCTCTCTCTATGTTTCTCTCTCTCTCTCTGTTTCTCTCTCTCTCTGTCTCTGTCTGTCTGTCTCTCTCTGCGTGTGTGCGCGCGCGCACATGAGAGAGAGGTGTTCCTTTTTAAAATTTATTTTCAATTACTGTCACTTATATTTCATCTTTTTCAAATCTATGCTAATTTTCTTTGTTTTTGCCATCCTTATATTTTATATATTAAAATTTGTTGAAACCTCATCAGGTTGTCTAAGGCAGTAGATTCTTTACAGTTTGGGAAGATGAGATTTTTGAATGCCAAAATTATCATTCTCCTGCCTTCTTAAGTGGTAGGAAAACACACATTTCCAGTTGGGCCCTATTGCTCCTAAATGTCACTATATCAACTTGTCTGTGATCACCTGTTTACTGCAAGACATATAGTTAATGCTATTGGCTGAGTTTGCACCTGCACAGATGTTTAGGAGATCATGATATGAATGCATTAACTAACAAGAGCATTTAGAGAGGATTTTCTTTAAGCTAAAAAAAAAAAAAAAATTTTAAAGCAAAGTTGCTGTCAGATTTTCTCATAAAGAGTCAGTGATAAATGTCACGGTGCTACTGGATGAGTTGTTTGATACATGTATACTTTTATAGGCTACAGAAATATGCATTCCATTTATTGCTTCACACTATTCGAGTCTGGCCAACTGGCTTTCCAGTGGAAGCAAGACTGTATGGATCAGTGGAGGATATGCATCACAGCAGACTTGATAGAGGTCTGTGACCTTCTCATCTAGAAATCACCGGCAGAGAGAATTAAAAGATGTTATGTCTGTTTCACAGCTTTGCCTTGGTTATATCTATTTCATTTGTGGGTCTGACCAACTCCTTTGATCGCGTACGATAAAATCCTTCATATGATCTCTTCCTCCTTCAGGATTAATCTCAGGTTACAGTACAGAACGAGAGAGCATGGAGAGTCAGATCCAGAGTCTTGAAGATCAGCGAGAAGTACTCATTGTAGAATTGGACACAACTCGATCACGACTTCAAGAGCTCCAGCCATCTGAGACACATTTTGAATCCACAGTTGATGGTCCGTGTCATCAGCAACCCCTGCCAAGGCAGACTACTGGCCCGGAAATGCAAGGTTTTTCTATTTTAACTCGATCTCATTCTTCACTTTCTTCTTACAGTTTCATGATTATTCCTATTAGTATGTTTATTGGAGCATATTTACTTAGACGTTGGTGGCTAAGGCACTAGTGATATGTTGCAGATCTGTTGACTTTATGTGTATAATTGATGCTTATCTCAATCAGTACCAGAAGACAGTTAAATTAGTTTTAAATCAGTATCTGATGAAGGCTTGGTACCATAAGAGTTTAGCAGTTTCTTATTTTTCTTCATGACACATTGTTGAACCTACTTTTTTCTGCCTCTCACATTGTTGAACCTACTTTTTTCTGCCTCTCACATTGTTGAACCTTTTTTTTTTCTGCCTCTCACATTGTTGAACCTACTTTTTTTCTGCCTCTCACATTGTTGAACCTATTTTTTCCTCCTCACACATTGTTGAACCTATTTTCACATGAATAAATTAATCAGGATTGGTTTCTGTGATAATTTGGAATGTTATGTATGCATATTGCATTAATTTATTAAGGGCATCATGTATTGTAAATATATTTAATAGAAATACTAATCACTTTCTAAACATTTTATGATAAACTACTAAAGCATATAATACATCAGTGCAAGTTTTTTAAATTTATATTTCGCTGCTACATTAATTGATCAGCATATAATCAGCTGATAAAGGGGATAAGTAAATGTACTATGAGATATAAATTATGCTAATTTTACAGGAATGACACAAAAAGCTAGTGCCTAGCCACCAAATTAGACTGCTCGTGTGTTGTTTCATTGTATTTAAAATGTTACTAACTTTGCCGCTGTAGTTACATTTTCTTCAGCAAATTTATTACTAATGGAACAGCAGTCACATAGCTTGCATGCCAAAACTGTGTTTTAGGTTTAGTCCCCTGCAAATGAATTATTTTTCTCTACCAATGCTGCTCTTGCGTCAAGCCAGCTTCATAAACATCGGTACCAGACGATTGTTAACAGTTTCTAAGGATTGTCTGAGAGGAAATCACTGTGTGGCTTCTCACTCCCCATTTTATAGGGGGAAAGAAAATAGTAGACTAACTGCCTCCCTTATGTAAAAGGTGATTGATTAGGGGTGTTTCCTTCGAAGTCAGAGTGCATCTGCCTGAAAGGCTGAGAACTAACAGCCCTACTTACACATAAGCTAGATTTATAAAATGGATGTGCATGCAAAATTGCAAGTTCTGGAACAAAACCAAAGTCCAAAAGTGGACGAACGATGAGAACATTCAGCGGGAGTTTACAGCTGGGAAAAAGCCTCCCCAAACTCGCTTGTATATGTTTTGGCTTAGAATATATGAAGACCTAAGATTTCACACACTACAGCTGCCTTTGTTATTATTGAACTATCTTTACTTTTTATAATTAAAAATATTCAATTTTTCAAAGGAATAGTAATCTGTTCTTTCATAAACCCTGAGAAAGGTTTTTATTCTAAGTTATACAATGAAAAGTAAAGACGTATTAACTCATTTACATCCATAAGTCTAACTGCAATTTGATTATAGACCCATGTTTCCGATGAGCAGATGAGGCACAGGGTGTTATTGGTAGGCCTCAACCGTGGCCAGTGATATCCCTTCCATTTTTATAGTCCAGTTTTTAAAAAACTGTAATGGCTGGATCTGTCATTACTGGGCTGTAAACTTCATAATCATTGTATTGGTAGATCAGTGCATTAACCTCTACTCTAGCTGTATTGATAGTATACTTGCTAGCACTGTGATGTTTTGTATTATTTTGCACGCTTCTGAATGTGATACTTTCCTGTTTTACATTTTCAGCTGTATTGTACTAACAACTAAACACATGCATGGATTGTTGTGTTTTGTGTTTTAGTTTTCAAATGCAGTAAACCAGGTTTTTTTTTTGCTTTTCCACTTTAAAGGATAAAACACTTCTGTATTCATAGCAGACACCGACAGAAATCTTCATGTAAGAGTATTCTGCTTTTTTCCCTAGTAATTGTTGTTTTGCAACTCTAGGATCCACAGTGTGAATATACATTACCACCAACGCCACACGGCATGGACTATAAGAAAAAGAACTCTAGCGCTATTCCATTTTACCGAGAACAGCTGTTAGATTCTTTATTTTTGATGCAAGAAAAATAAGTGTATAAAACTAACTTATATTTATGAATCAGGAGAAGTACATTGAGTTGACTGCCGCATTGGAAGACTGAGCAAGCATTGGAATGCGCAGTGAGCAGTTGTGTGGATCACGATAATAAGATATATGTTTGTTTGTTTGTGTAGTTTAAACAAATTCCAAGGGACCGAAATATCAAGAGTTTTTGATAAAAATGTGCTAACCAAAGATTTAAAATCCTGCTGGGACCAGAATTATGTTCTTGATAACCTGAGTGTTCTTAAGTGAGTTCCTGTTAACAAGGTTTCACTGTATTATATAGTGCCATTCAAGTGTATCTATTATCAGACTAATTCTGAATTTAGCAAATAAGCTAATACATCTTTTGACAGTCTTTGCAACTGCCATGGTTGAAGTATGGTTTGTTAACAAGATAATGAGATTTGGAAGCACAGTTATGACTATTTCTGAAAAAGAGAGAAAGAGAGAGAGCGAGAGAGAGAGAGAGAGAGAGAGAGAGAGAGAGAGAGAGAGAGAGAGAGAGAGAGAGAGAGAGAGAGAGAGAGAAGAAAAAGCATTACATCATGATGCTCTCTCTTTCTCTCTCTTTCTCTGTCTCTCTTTCTCTCTTTTTCTCCCTCTCCCTCTCTCTCTGGGTCTGTCTGTCTCTCTCTCTCTGTCTGTCTGTCAGTCTCTCTCTCTCTCTGTGAAAGAGATAGATAGTGAGAAAGCAAGGAAGAGTGGGTGTGAAATAGATTTAAATAGACCATAACCTTATTAAATATTTTACATTACATTGAGACATATTGTGTCTATTATTTCAGAGGTAGGATTCTGAGTTATTAATTATGTAATAGGTTTGTTTATTCATGTCATTTGAGCAGTAATGATATTCTTATCGGTAAGAGCCCCGCCTTCCTAGGGATATGACCCTTTTGCATTTCTGTTTCAAATTGTATAAGTAGCTTAGTGTAAGTAAATTCCCTTACATTTAAGTTTAAAAAGGCAGTATAAGCCAGTAATAGTGTCTTCTACCTTCCTGAATGAAATTGAATAGCATCAAATTCTGCATATCTTGTACCTAAAAACTGTTTTTACCCCCTAAAGGGATTGAAATTCTTTCTGCTAAGTGACCATATGTGATTGTATATTTTTCATGATTGCCAGTTTGCAAATTATATATAATTTGATTTTCTTCATGTTTACCAGTCAACATGTTATATGTGATTGGCTATTCTTTATGTGTTCCAGTCAACATACTATTTGTGATTGGCTATTCTTCATGTGTTCCAGTCAACATACTATTTGTGATTGGTTATTCTTCATGTTATCATTCATCATGTTATATTGGCCGTTTTCCATGTAATCCAATCAACATGTTATGTGTGATTGGCTTTTTGTGTGCGTTCCAATGAACATGTTATTCATGATTGGCTATTCATGTTTATCATTGAACTAAAACTTGTTAGATCTGATTGGCTATTCTTCATGTCTACCAATCAACGAGTTATATATGATTGGCAATTCTTCCTCTGTTCCAGTCAATATGTTATATGTGATTGGCTAATCTTTGTGTGTTTCAATCAAAATGTTATATTTGATTGGCTTTTCTTCATGTGTTCCAGTCAACATGTTACATGTGATTGGCTATTCTTAATGTTTATCCTTCAACATATTAATATACGATTGTCTACTCTTTGTGTACGCCAACCATTCTGTCTTATTTAACATGATTGCTATTTCTTATGTATACAAGTCAGGATATCATGTTTAATTGTGCTTCATACGTCTGACCATACTAAAGAAATGTGACACCTTTAACAAGTTTTTTTTTAAAACGAGATATTCAAATTTTTTATATGTTTAAGACATCACAATGCTAATATTACCTTATGCGGGCAGTGTTGACAAACACACTGGTATTACATTTCTTTTGATGCAAACAAGGCAGGCTTGAGGGAGGGATGATTATGTATGGACAATAATACATGGTCTCTGCAGTACTGCCAGGCTTTGTGCTGTGTAGAGTAACAACAACATCCCTGGCCTTCATTGTGCGAACAAGTCTTGTTAGTCATACACACCATCACTGTGATTCTCATGCCTGCCTATAGTACAGTAAACAGTTATGAGTTATGAGATAAGAACTGACATCTTAACACTTGGGAAATTCCCATACGTGCTCTGTCCCTATCTTCAGCAGCAAGATAGTTCCAGTTCCGATGGCACCAGTAACGTCTGATTGTTTGTCCGTCTTGCCCTTTCCCTCTGAATGTTGATCCTCAGATATATCCCCTGGTTACTTCTCGCTGCACTATTCTTTTCAGAGAATGCTGTGAAAAGGATAATGATCAATCATATTAGCATAACATCATCGTGTTAAATGGTCTTCATGCAATGCAATCTTTTCTTTTGGAAATATATCTAAATATACGCAGGGTACAATAAATGGGATATACAATGTTACAAAGTGTTTTCTTCTTCATTTTTCTTTTATAGGGAGCGGGTCACACATACTTATGCACCTCATTTTGTATTATCTTGACTTTACCATGCGTTTGTGTAAGGTTGGCTTCATCTAAACAAATTCCTTCCGTGTTAATTTCTTTGTTTAGCTATGCATAGATTTTATTTGCTTACACTTTTACCAGAGAAGTGTTACAGCCTACCTACTCTTTGCAGTTTCCAACAACAGAGGTTTTTCAGTGTACAAAGTTTGCTTGCGCACAGGACTTCAAGTTTTTTGCCCCTTGTCTAAGAATTCTAGGTATCTAGTCTCTGCCAATTCTCTTCTTTGTGTTTTCACCTTAAAAGGGTGGAGGGCACTTGTATTGTAGTTTACAGCTAGCCTGTGATATTTATGTCTTTCAGTCCAACACATCCAGTTTC